GGTTTGGGTCCTCATGAGGTTCTCCAAAGGTGGCACCTCAAAAGGAGTCAAAGTTGGGGTGAAAGGAGGTGGGTTTGGGTCCTCATGAGGTTCTCCAAAGGTGGTGCCTCAAAAGAAGTCAAAATTGAGGTCAGGAAAGGTGGTTTTGGGTCTTCATTAGGTTCTCCAAAGGTGACATCTCACCAGGGGTCAAAGCTGGGGTGAAAGGAGGTGGGTTTGGGTCATCACAAAGTTCTTCAAAGGTGGCATCTCCCCTTGGTGTGGAAAGGGTTGAACTTGGTGTCAGGGGAGGTGGTTTTGGGTCCTCCTGAGGTTCTCCAGAGCTGAATCCTCACCCAGGGTTGGAATTTGGGGTCAGGGAAGGTGGTTTTGGGTTCTCCTGAGGTTCTCAAAGATGACGCCTCACCTCGGGCTTGAAACTGGGTCCAGGGGAGGTGGTTCTGTGATCCCATGAGGTTCTCCAGAAGTGGTTTTGGATCCTCCTGAGATAACTCCTCACCTGGGGTTGTATTTTGGGGCTGGCCTGAGGTGGCCGTGGGGGTCCCCGGTGGCTGAAGGTGTCCCCGATGTCCCCGCAGGTGGGGCCAGCTGGGAGGAGAACAACGCCCGCACCTACAACATCGAGGGCACGTCCTACGCGCTGCTGGCCCTGGTGCAGATGAAGAAGTCCCAGCTGGCCGGGCCGGTGGCCCGGTGGCTCGCCCAGCAGAACTACTACGGAGGAGGCTACGGCTCCACCCAGGTGGGACATGGGACAGCCCCGGCCACCCGCGGGGACATCTCGGGGACACCTGGGGGTGACGGGGGTGGGCGTTGTCTTTTTGGGGACGTCTTTGGTGGCATGGGAGCAAAAGGTCGCTCTAGAAGGCTTGGAGGGTGCTCCAGTTGGTGTCCTCAAGCCCTGGTGACACCAGTGTCCCCTCAAGGCCACCCAGGAGCCCTTGTGGCCTCTCCACCAGTGTCCCCAAGCCCTGGTGACCCTGATGTCCCCTCAGGCCACCATCCTGGAGTTCCAAGCTCTGTCCCAGCACCAGGTGGACACCAAGTTGATGTCCCCAAGGCCTGGTGACCCTGATGTCCCCTCAGGCCACCATCCTGATGTTCCAAGCTCTGTCCCAGCACCAGGTGGACACCGAATATTTGTCCCCAAGCCATGGTGACCCTGATGTCCCCTCAAGCCACCATCCTGGTGCTCCAAGCGCTGACCCAGCACCAGGTGGACATTGAGTTGATGTCCCCAAGCCATGGTGACCCTGGTGTCCCCTCAGGCCACCATCCTGGTGTTCCAAGCGCTGGCCCAGTACCAGGTGGCCACCGAGTCGCAGCAGCAGCTGGAGCTCGACGTGTCGGTGCTGCTGCCGCGCCGCGCCAGCGCCATCAAGTACCGCATCGAGAACCACAACGCGCTGGTGACGCGCTCCACCGAGGTACCTGGTGGCCCCGTCACCTGTCACCTTGTCACCCCGGCACATTGTCACCCGTCCCCTGGCATTGTCCCCTGGCACTGCCACCTCTGGGTGTCCTCGTTGGATCTCCTCCCATCACCATGGCCACCGTTGTTCCTTCCATGTCACCTCTGTGTCTTCTCAATGTTTGGGATGTGCCACCCTGGCCTTGTCCCCTCCCAGGAGTGTCCTTGTCACCTCCATGTGCCACCCTGGCCTTGTCCCCTCCCAGGAGTGTCCTTGTCACCTCCGTGTCCCACCCTGGCCTTGTCCCCTCCCTTGCTGTGACCTGCAATGTCATTGTCACCTCCCTGTCCTCCTGATCTCCGTGTCCTTCAACGTCCCTGTCCCCTCTGTCACTGCCACCCTCTTTGTGTCCTTCCTGTCCCCTCCCTGTCCCCTCTGTCACTGCCACCCTCTCTGTGTCCTGCCTGTCCCTCCTGGGGACGTCCCCTGGCCCCTCCCAATGTCCCCTGTTCCCTCCCAATGTCCCCTGTTCCCTCCCAATGTCCCCTGTCCCTTCGCGATGTCCCCTCCTAATGTCCCTTGTCCCTTCTCAATGTCCCCTGTCCCTCTCAATGTCCCCTCCCAATGTCCCCCCAATGTCCCCTGTCCCCTCCCAATGTCCCCCCAATGTCCCCTGACCTCTTTCAATGTCCCCTCCCAATGTCCCCTACCAGTGTCCTGTGTCCTCTCCAAATGTCTCCTGTCCCCTCCCAATGTCCCCTCAATGTCCCCTGTCACCTCCCACTGTCCCCTGCCAATGTCCCCTGTCCCTTCCAGTGTCCCCTGTCCCTCCTAATGTCCCCTGTCCCCTCCCAATGTCACCTCCCAATGTCCCCTCTCAATGTCTCCCCAATGTCCCCTGTCCCTCCTAATGTCCCCTGTCCCTCCCAATGTCCCCTCTCAATGTCCCCATGTCCCCTGTCCCTCCCAATGTCCCCTTCCAATGCCCTGTGTCCTCTCCAAACGTCGCCTGTCCCCTCCCAATGTCCCCTCCCACTGTCCCCTGTCACCTCCCACTGTCCCCCGCCAATGTCCCCTGTCCCTCCCAATGTCCCCTCCCAATGTCCCCACGTCCCCTGTCCCCTCAGACCAAGCTGAACGAGGACTTCACGGTCAAGGCCGAGGGCGTGGGCAAGGGGACAATGACGGTGGTGACCGTGTACCACGCCAAGGTCCCCGACAAGGATGACAAATGTGACAACTTCGACCTGAGCGTGGACGTGGAGGAGGTCGACGGGGGTGAGTCCCCAAATGTCCCCTCCCTGTCCCCGCTGTGTCCCCCCCGAGCCCCTCCCCGCGTCACCCATGCGCCCCACGTCCCCTTCGATGTCCCCTCCATGTCCCCACCCAGGTAAGGAAGAGGAGGACATCATCAGGACCATCAAGATCACCATCTGCACCAGGTGGGGACACTGGGGACATTGGGGACATTGGGGACATTGGGGACATTGGGGACACTGGGGACATTGGGGACATTGGGGACATTG